GAGGAGGAGGTGGTGGTGGTGGTGGAACCGGTGCCGCTGCGCTCTCATCTTTGTTCTCGCCTTTGCTTTCGTCTTTGCTTTCGTCTTTGCTCTCCTCCTTGCTCTCGTCTTTGCCCTCCTTGCTCTCATCTTTGCTCTCCGCCTTGCTCTCCTCGGTCTCCTTAGTCTCGTCCTTAGTCTCGTCCTTGGTCTGGTCCTTGGTCTCGTCTTTGCTCTCCGCTTCCTTCTCGGCGCTGGCTGCCTGGTCGTCCGCTTCGGACTTAGGCTTCTCAGCCTCTTCCTCGTCGTCATCATCGTACTTGCGGACCTTGGCAGCAATTTCCCCTAACAGACCAGTAGCCTGTTCAGGGTTCATTCTTGGTCGTCGGAGCTCAACCAGGCGAGGCTTCTCGTAGGGCACGTTCTCATCCTGCTCCGTCAGCTCCGGAAGATGCTCCTCATTCTCGGACTCGGCGGCATGGCCCTTCTTGCGCGCAACAGAGCCGAGGGTGCTGTTGGTCAAATTGCGACGAGCTTCCTGGTCAAAGTCTTCTTCGGCCAGTCCGGGACCTTCCATCTGCTCTCGTAGTTCTCGTAGACGATCCGAAGGCCCGTCTTGGTTCCAGACTTTACCCTCCAGCTTGAATTGCGTCTTTGTCCTCTCCAGTTGGCGCTCGAGTCTTTCCAGAAGCTTTTCACGATCCAAAATCCCTCTCATCTGGGCCGGATCGGTCTCACCCAGCTTCGACTCGGAGGACTTCTTCGCGCTCGATGCCGCAATGTCCTGGGCATCTCGGAGCATCAGATACAGTTCTCGGGTCTCCAATTCATTCCGCTGGAGTTCCTGGGCACGGAGGCGATGGAGGTCGCTAAGCTCCGCCTTGAGGGACTCGTTCTGCCGAGATTGCAGCTCGATTATGTTGGCTTGCTCCTCGATCTGCTTCTGTAGCTTCTTCACGAGACCATCGGCGCCCATCTCAATTTGAGCCTTCATTTCATCCCGTTCGGCAATGGCGGCCTCAGCCAATTGGCGGGCTTCGACCGATTCATCATAGGCGTGCCTAGCTTCGGCATCCGTATGCAACCGATCCAACAGGCTCTGGACCGTGAAATTCAAGCCTTGTCGGAGATCTAGGTCGGGCAGTCTGCGGTCCATAGCGACATAGCTGAGCATGGCGTCGACGAGCTGGAACATCCGATGCATATCTTCCCCGGAGTTCTCGCGGATGAGGAGCATGTGCTGCATGGCCGAGAGGAAGTAATCATGTGAACGGGTGCCCTGAATCTTGGAGGCGATGGCATCGGCGATCTGGATGGGGTCACTCATATCCTTGACCTCCCCTTCGACGCTATCCTTCGTACTGCTGGTCTCCCGCTGGAGCAGGTCTTCATAATCGATAGCCTCATTCTCCCGGAAGTGCTCTATCTGCTTGTCAATCACCTCGTATTGGAAGCCTTCCATCTTCGTCATCAGACGCTTGATGCCACATGATATGAACTGCGCCCGGATATGGCATCGCAGCTGCAAATCATCCTGCGGCGCGTCGATCAGCATGTTGATGAGCATCAACGTAGCAACAGCGTATTCCATCAGGAGGTTCTCCATGCCAATCCCTCCGCTGCGATATTCTTCACTGGCGCCGACCAAACTGCCCATCTTACCCCGGCCGTCGATGGTAACCTCGACGATGCGCATCCAGGCGTCAAAACGGCCCGTCTCGCCTTGCTGGTTCTTGACATGGTCCAAGGCCTGCAGGACCTTCTGATGACCCTGACCGTCGCCCCAATGGCACAGAAAAGTGAGAATCTCGCTGACCATCTTCCGGGTCTGCAGACGCGGCGACAGCAACGAGCTGATGAGCGCCACGATCACCTGCTGGTGGGCCAGGGCATCGTCGGCACCGTACTTGTTATTCATCAGGGCTTTCAGACATTTGGCAATGTCATATTCGCGTTCCAAGTCCTTTTCCGCCGAGCCGGTCGGGGTCGGTCCCGGTACCGAGGATTTCCTTCGATTGATTTTCAGGAGCACGTTGGTCAGGGCAATCTGACCCTGCGCCTCGACAAACGCCTTCACCCAACTGCAAGTTATCCATGTTAGACATCTCCTTCAGATCCCACCCTGCGGAAAGAAAGAGACGGAACGAGAGGGAACTCACCTAATGGGCTGCGTACGTAGACTGACGCTGAGGCTGGCCAATTGCTTCGGTGTGATCGTGTCGTCCATAACCTTCCTGACGTACCATTCCGGACTGCCCTCCTCTTCCGACCGGGTCAGGAGACCGCTAGGTCCATCAGGTCCATGAGCCTGCCTCGCGTTCTGTCGTCGCCTCTGCTCTCCTTGGAGTTCGGTGAGTCGGTCCTGATGGACGAGGGTCCACTTCTTAGACGCGGGATAGGCCAGCATCTGGCGCTTCGCCTGCTCCGGAAGATTTTGCCAGCCTCGTTTCTGCATCAGCTCCAGGAACAGCTGGTCGACGATGCGATCATCCTTGGGGCGGGTGAGATACTGTTCTGGAGTCAGGGAAGACTGGGAGGAGGAATTGGGCAGTTGCGAGGAAACCGGTTGAGAAGGCAGCCAGGAACCCTGGAGGTTGGAGTAGCGGTTCATGTTGGACCCGGCGGTGCGATCTCCGGTCGAATGGGAGGTGGTGAGAGTGCGGGAGGAATTGCTATCGGAGAAGTAGGAGCCACGAGTGGCCGAGGACTGAGAGGAATGGATGCTGGTCTGGTCCAGGGACAATCGTGAATTGGACGACGAATCGGCGGTGGACGACGAAGTATAACTGAATCCCGTATTCGCGGCCGAGCTGCCTGGCCTTCCCCACTGTTGATATCGCGTCCCGCGGTCGCCCGTAGCGCTGGCGGCCATGGTTAAATTGGACGCATGGGGCGGGGGTCGAGGGCCATTGACGTAGGAATAGCCGTTCTGCACGGCTTTGGGATCCCACGGTGGATATTGGTGAAAGTCTATGCCACTCTTTGCAAGATGGTTGGGCGAATTCTCGCGTCGCAAGGCGGGTTCGTTCTTGGGGAGATAGTCGACGGGGATGGGCGATTTCGAGTCGGCCGGCAAACTCTCGAAGGGGATGGAGGTGATGACACCGGCGGTCATGTTGAGAACAGAGGTGTCATCACTGTCAACGACGGAGCTCATCGAGGCGGTCTTGGAATGACGCGAAGAGCGAGAGCCGGTGGCACTCCCCGCGGAGCCTGGGGGCTCTAGAATACCACCAGCGGACGCAGCACCGGCGGCATCGTGGCGGTCGTCGCCAGGTCGCTCCTTGTGCAGTTTCCTCCCAAAGAACGACTTGCCTGCGGAGTTCTGTCTCGACCTGTCGGGCGCGGTCGTGGTGTTGGGCATCTTGAAGCTGATGGCGGGCGTCGCTCAAGAAGCGCCGAGTGCAGCAGCATGAGCGTGGAGATTTGCGGATCGAGCGTGCTTCGCGGATTGAGAAAGCCCTATGGTTCCTCTGGATGGTGCAGACGCGCGTGGTCCACGAGCTGGGACGCTCGTGCAATCCACTGTCCTCGCGGGCCGGGTGGTGATCCCGCTGTTCGTCTGGGCGATCGGATACCCGCAACGGGAGCACCGCAAGGGCGAACGGCAAGACGTCAGGTCCCTCCGGCACGCTGGGCAGATCGTGCTTGAGACAGCTCGGAATCTCGTTGAGAAGCGCTCGCACGCGTGGGAGAGATGCGCCTCGAGGGCGAGGTGATGGGCGGTGGAGTGCGGTCGAGAACGGTGCTTGTCACTTGTGTGACCCTGAGGAGTGCAGGTGCAGCAGGCGGGTGTTTGGTGTTGGAGCGAATCTTCTGTCTGCGCGAGCGGAGTTAGTGCCATGGGGCCGCCGCCTGATTGGCCGGCCGCGCCTTAGCTCCGATGAGCCCGCCAAGGCACAGGGCAGGGGCCGGCTGGCCAGCTGCAGCGCTGGCTGGCCCGACCTCGCAGGCACGGGATCAGCGTTGATGCAACAATTCTGTGTACTACTGCTCTGTCAGGAGTAGAATTATTAAGTCGCCAAGCGTCAATTACGACCAGCAACCGGCTGCTCTGTCCAGTGCTTGTCGTATGTTGGTCGACGTCCTGCCAGCAAAGGAAGGCGGTCGAGGGCGACAGTACGCCCGCTGTAACGAACAATACCGCGTAATACCAATCTACCGCCAATAATAGCTACGCCGGCCACCTGATCCCGCTCGACGTAATCGAAGCGGACGGCGAGACATCCCCGTATCACCATCTCTTGTCCTGATCACAATATTGATAT